AAACGAAATTCGCTTTGACTTGTAGCTTTCGAAAGGTGATTCGGGCGCTCGCATTTAGTGGTCGTGAAAAATTCGACAATTCATTTTCTTTCAAAATTCATGCTATAGTTTGATAGCCAGCTCCATAAGCTTTAATTTGATGTAGGGGTTTATGTGTCTACAGCTTAAACTGCACGCGCTACATCGCTTGCGCGCGAGACACCCCTGAAGGTATACTGTAACCTTAACTACTGCTTGCTTGTTGCAGAAATTACATCTATATTTCTGCAAAACATGACGACCCCTTCTGTTTTACTTCTTATCTAAAATTTTTAAAAAACAAGCTCGGGACAGACAAAAAGAAGATTCGAGGCCTTGTTACTCTTTAGAGCACTTTTGTTTTGTTCGATTCTTGTGAGTATTTATTAGACCGTAATTCGTAGATCTTTTCAGTTAGCTCTTTACACTATAGCTAGTCGTAATTTCTTTTTTTAAGTTGTTACATTTTAAATTTCTTTGTAATTCTTTTTTCTTGTTGTTTTGAAATTGTGATGTATGTTACCTTTTTTCAGTGAATAAATAAGATAAAGGGTTATTAAATAAATAAATAAATAAATAAATAAATAATTAAAAAATACGTAACGGCTTGATAGAATTTGTACTATTTTCTCGTCGCTGTATTCGTAAAAACTCGAGGGTGTAGAAATGATGTTGTTTAAGTCTAATTCTTGTTTTGTAGCCGTAAGTTTACCTAAGCTATATTTCAGCCAAGTGTCCGAAATTTGCCTGAAATCAGATAAAAAGTGTACGAAAATAAAACCTTCGAGATAAAACGTTCTAAATTTTGTGCAAGTAATGTTGTACAAGTTCGAAACGGTACGAAAGAGCGAAAGTACGGTTAATTTTATTGTAAACACCTGTCATCCATCCCCAATTTTTCGTAAAATAAATGCGTTTTACGGAGAGTTGACATGAAAAAATTGCTAAAGCTGAGCAACAGAGTCCATTTGTTCTTAACTGATACTTCATCACTAACAACAGAAACAAGACAAAGAAAGCCTTCCGCAAAAGTCACATCAAGTAATTTTCAGCAAGGCAAGACATCTCCTTTACCACGAATGACATCTTTCACCTCAGCTGCAGCCACAAACAGTATGAGTGAAGCACCAAGAATCATGTCCACTGTGAGCGGGTTTAGAATGGCCAGCAGTGTAGCAGACGTGGCAGTAATTGCAAATCTTGTACCTAATAGAGGTAAGTTCTCTACAAAACAAGTTCCGTGTTTCGATCGAGTTTTAGTGTAAACCTACCGCGTTCTATCACGATTGCCGTCCTCTGATTGGCTACGCTACTCACTATCTATTCTGTGATAGACAGTGAGTAGCGTAGCAGTGTGCGCTTGCTACAGACTGTAACAAAATGACGGCCACTTCTTGACGTTTTCGAAGTGTCCCTGAAGAGGATTTAGATAAAGTTTTGAACGATTAGTAGATTTATACTAATACAATTAGACTATTCGCTCTCGATTTCTATGCGTGATGGTTGACTCGGGCTGCGCCCTCGTCAATAATATCCAGCCATCTTGACCGAACAAGCTTGGTCAATAAAAGATTTACTAACTGGAAAAGAACATTATAACAGAGCAACCAATTTGTTCTTTTATCATTTTTCTTAACGGTTGTTGACATTGCAGAATCCAAATGGTCTCGATGGAGTTCATGGACTGACTGCACTAAAACATGCGGTACTGGAACACGTCAGCGGAAAAGAACATGTCAAGCCATTAATCAAAGAGCAGTTTTCGCTCCAATATCTTGCGCTGGAAAATCTCAGCAAGTCAAGTCATGCGCAGAATGGAGTTGCCCAGGTTGATACATCTTCCATGGTTATATGATTGATATGTTTGCTATAATTAAAAATTTTTAAAAACTGGATCATTGGATAATGCTATTCGAGAGTTTTCATTGGCTTAGCCGTCGTGGGTTATGAACCATTATACCATGCTCTACAAATATATGGTAAGCGTACACGTGATGTTTTTTAGGCTTTTTTATGTGTCTTTTAGTTTAGTTTTCTTTATTTTGGCGGCGTTTTTAATAAAACAATTATTCCACTCGCGCTTGATGGATATGAGATGATTATAGCCGAACTCGGCGGTACGTGCCTCGTTGATTATCGATCTAACATCTTGTGAGTAGTGAATCTTCACTACTAAGCCGAAAGTCGATATGCGCAAATCGAGAAGGAGCTGCTTTCTGCCAAATGTGCATGCAGAAAGTTCCATGATTTCATCTATGGTCGACAAGCTACTGTCGAGACCGATCACAAGCCTCTCACAGCAATCCTAAACAAGCCTTTTCATTCAGACCCCGCTCGTCTTCAGCGTATGCTTTTGCAGCTTCAGAGGTATGATTTGAAGTTCATCTACAAGAAAGGGACTGAACTTTACGTCGCAGACAAGCTGTCACGCTCCTACATCGATGAGAAATCTGAACCAGACGTTGATGAGCAGGTTGAAATCCTGTCCCTTACATCAATTTCTCCAGCGCGTATGGCCGAACTTCAGAAACACACTCTTAGCTTCCAGATCCTGTAATGCAGAAAGTTACCCATTTCATTTCTAATGGCTGGCCAGCAGAGGCACAGCCTTNACCAAATCCAAAGTTCCGAGACTTCGTGGCCTGATAATAAGGCATAAACTTATGAACTGTTTTTTATTTTCACTTTTTTTGTTATTCGCTTCACTGAAACTGCATGTATTTAACTTGCAAAGGGAGGTGTGGAACGAGCGTGTGAATGCATGCGTGTGGAATGAGCGTGTGAATGTATGCGTGTGGAATGTGTGTGTAACATGCTAATCAGTTTCATAACTTGGGTGTGTAATATTTTATCGGTTAGTTGAATAAATGGACTTCTCGAATGAAGGTCGTCGCTTAAAAACTACAATAGCCAACGGGCGCTCGTGGAATAATTGTTAAATAAGCCGAGCTTTTCGACCAGTCAGAATGTCCAGTTCTTATGTTCACCTCTGGAAATTGTACTAATCTCGCATCAAAGTAGTTTGCGAATCCACAGCTACTTTGACAATGTTATGACGAAAGTCATGATCAAAAACAGGACAGACGCATGAAAAACTGACGTCAATTTGTTAATTTGAGAGGTGGAGAGGAGGAGGAGGGTGGTGACAAAGATCATTTGATGGCAAAAAGATGAAGGGTCCCAAAACTTTTGGCCAGGGTTTTAGGTAGCATGACCGTAGCCTATAAAGAGCTTATTCAACTAACATGAACAGAATGCCAGCGCAGCTCTTTGTTTAAATGTCAGTATACAAAATAACTGTTTTTGTTAATAACGAGTTTTGAATATTCACACGAGGTTTGCTTTTTTACAAATCTGTCTGATCTGAGAAATTTACCTTGTTTATAGATTGCTCTAAAAACTGTACCACTGGAACACTGAATGCGGCTTGCGATGCATGCACTTGTGCTCATCATATCCTCACTGGCAGAATCTTGACAGAAAGTGACGTACCACTCTCAGAGGTAAACATATCATTGGCAGAGACACCGTACAATGTTCTGGTGCAAACAAATGTCAGTGGCTACTTTTCTACTCGTGGAGTCTGCGCAGATGATCAGCAAGAGCTGCTCATAACAAAGGCGGGGTTTGTTCCTGTGAAACTAAGAGCTAATGTTTTGACGCCGACGAGGGCTACAATTACAGCAAAAATGGAAATTGCAGGTAAGGATCCATATATGGACGTAGGTTATGTTCATACGGGGCCAGTTCCGAATGGTATATTTCTGACACCTCTGTAAGCGTAATGTTTGCGAGAGTTAAAATTAAAATTGAATTGAATTGGGTCCGGTCCAAAAATCGCATTATTTCGATTACACGAGACCGGTCGTTCTTCCTACATTTCCGTTCCGTTCTCTGTTTTAATGTTTGGGTCTAGCTGCCAAAAAGCTAGGTTAATTTTTGGAACCGTTCTGGTCCAAAAATAGGACACCAAGACATCAACACACCTTGGGTGGATCCCTGTACCGGTTCCTTTCGAGCTTGGCTACACAATTTGCTACACATTCTTTGCTTTCTTCCTTTTCCATCCTTTCTTCCTTCCGAACTCCCTTTCTTCCTAAACTCCAATTCCTCCCACCCTACAGGTAACAATTGAGAATAGGGTGTTTATCTTTTATTGCAGTTGCGCCATTTGTAACAGTTCATCCGGAAAGCAAGATACGGATGTCTGGCCAAAGCGTTACATTTTGTTGCGATGGGGAAGGGAATCCCCCACCGGAGATTGAGTGGTGAGTCACTTAGTTCGAGAATGTATCGGTAACGACATAATATAGGTCGGAAGTGTTCTTCGATGGCTACGAGGACCGGTGTAAAAGATTGATCAGTGGAAAGTTTAGAGATTTCCAAATACACTATACAGTACTGATACTCACTTGGCGCAATTTGGCGGGCAATAGCCAAAATTCGACGCCGGATTACTATAAAAGGAATTTATTGAGTAAATTAATAAAGATAAGAGTTATTTGTTACAATTCAAACGTTAAGAACTCTAGCAATATATGCGTTTTAAACGTTAAGAAATTCTCGGGAAAATCTTTTTCTTTCGCCATGTTCTACAGCTCCAAGCGAGGAGACGTTGAGAACAAAGAAAAGAAAGACAAGTGTGGAATGTTCGGCGGAAAAGGTCGTCAGAGTGATAATACCACATTTTCTTTTCAGGTTTAAAGAAAATAACGTCATCGACAAGGATTTGTATAATTACGACAAAGATCTTGAAATTCCTGACGTGACGGCCCTGAATGGAAGTTTCCGTTGTCGAGTAGTAAACCAATTTGGTTCTGAATTTTCAACCGCTGCTGAGTTGACAGTATTCGGTAAGCAATCTGAGTCTTAAATATCAGTAATTAATGTGTAAGAAATCGTGGTCTTTACTGCAGTTTAAGACACGTCAGGTGATCAGAGATAAGCCAATATGTCTCTGAGGAGTGTGGAGAAAGCGTACGTCATTTACGGCGCAATCGTGACGAAGATTTGTGATCACATGATTACATATTCTGGTCCACCTCTGATGAAATGATTGTATGTAGTCATTAAGAATTTCAAGCAATTTTATCGTGACCCTATGAGAATACTTAAAGAGCTGCTCGATCTCAATTCCCACATACCACCAATGGCATGGGTATTCGGGGGCAAGATGGAAGAAGACTTCTTCGTTTCTCGGTGAACATCTCTTGGAGTCAGCACTGACTTCTGTCATAAAATAATGAAAGTAATCAAAAGAAAAGCTTGCACTATCTACCTGTAGTTGTGTTTGTCTTCAGAACGGTACAAAACGTCAGCTGCTGACGTCAATAAAACCTGTTCTAGCGCGGCCTTTCAGAAGTAAGCCGGATTCCTTTTCTGGCTAGCTAAAGCTCAAAGAGTATATAAGACGACGATTCCAAGGGATTCGAAGAAATTGAACTTTCTCTCGATCGCAGGGCTTTAAACTCTCTATTTTGGATAGTTACGTGTGGGTGTTATAATCAGTGCAAAAGTTTACTGAGTAGTATTTCGTTTTATCAATTTTTTTTTTCTTTTTTCAGAAAAATCTGAGGACTCGTGCTCTTCGACACCTAAATCCAAGAACGAGACCCTGCCTGACGGTTGTGTTCTCAATGGTACAAACACCACTACCGTGGACGTCGGGAAATGTGAGCCAGTCGCATGTGTGAAGGGGAATTCAAGCTTCAATTCTTCTTGCACAGACTCTTCCTTGTGCTGTGGGCCTCGCTCTTTTGAAACAGCTCTAGTTCAGTGTGGGTCCCTCATGTCGTTTGATCTCTCCGTAGTTAAATCGTGTGGGTGTGGAGATTGCTTAGAAAAACAAACGGTGATAGAAGGTACTGCCGTAGGTCAAGATGACAGCGCGGCCATGCTAGTGAAATTATTCCTTGCTGGACAACTGGTTGCTATGACCGATGCAAATGGTGACTTCTCTTTTGCTGTTCCGAAAAATACGAGAAGAGCAATAGTGACTTTTAAAGATCAGATCGTCAAAAAATTTGAAGAAGAAGATAAAATTTTTGTCTTAAATGAAGGACAGACAGTGAAATTTCGAGTGAAACTAAGAGAGAAACCAAAGCCTATCACTTTCAATGCCTCTGAGCCATTAGACGTGCCATTAGGTGGTGATTCAGATAGCTTCGCAGACCTTGAACTACCGGAAAATGCCCTCTTGACTGAAGATGGTTCCGTTTTCAGTGGAAATGCAAAGGCCTCAGTCAGTGTTACTGATCCTCGTAACCAGTCTGATATTTTATCAGCTCCGGGAGATTTTAGTACCATGAATGAAGATGGCGAGGAGGAAATTCTTGAAACTTACGGTATGATGAAGCTCAGTCTGGAAGATGACAATGGAAAACCCCTAGTTATGTCTAAACCCATGAAAGTGTACTTAGATCCTGAAAAACTCAACTTGACTGTATCTGATGGGAATGTCTCTGTAAAACTTTACTGGCTTGACAGGAAAACTGGACGTTGGAGGTCGGTCGGTGATTTTGCTCTTGAAGATGGGAGCAAAAGAAGACGAAAGCGCTCCGATCATCGAGTATTTCTTGCAGGAACCGTGACACCAGCCATAGCAAAGGCGAATCTCAACTTTGACAAGCCAGACTACAGAGTCGGTTTAAGAGTAACAACTAAACCAGCAGAAGATGACGTCATAATAACAGCCATTCGCAAAGATCACAAAGGGTATGTGGAGCGCATAACAAAGAATGGTGTCATCTGCATGCCGATATGGAAAGACAAGGATTATTACCTTCAAGCCGAAAAGAACTTCAAGTATTACGATCCAGATCCCGCTCTTAAGCCCTTTAAGAGCACTTTTCGACATGTCAAAGGCGATGTAAAAGACGTTGAGGGCAAGGGTAAAACTATTAGCTCATTTGAATTTTCTAGCAGTCTGGTGAACCCAAGAGGGCCGATTTACTTTGACGATGGAGAGGGTGGCAACGAAAGGAACATGTGTGAAAAGTCTCTGAATTCCGCGCAATCCCAAGTGAAGGGTAGGCAGTTTGTATTTATACCACCCTCCCTTGGTCCAGCGGAATACCAATTGCTCGGTATAGACGTCGACGAGAATACGGATTGGAATAAACTAAATCGCGTTGACTTGGGCTTTGACAGTTGTTTTATTAAAGTCAATATAACCGGCAAAAAGGTTCTGTTTATGGCAGCTAGCTATGACAAAAAAGTGCCAACTGCAAAAGACCCAAATAAACCGAACAGTAGACAACCTTATAGGAAAGGCTTTCATATCAAGATGGCAAGAGCATCAACAGTCAGCGCCGAATCAGGCAACGCGGTTTGTCTTCAGTTCAGGTGTCCGAGAAAGATAGGCGACAACTACGATCACACCTTCCTTCTTTTAACACCAATGATCTCAACCTCAGCAGCTACTTGCAAGTTTGTCAAGATGGATAGTACTTTGGGGGGCGCACAATCAAAGTGTGGTACTCTCCCTACTGCCGAGGGCGACGAAAAGTGGATATGTATCCCTTCCGACAAAAATGATGATAAGCTTTCTACTTACCGAGGACGAGGAACTGTAGGTGAGGCCAAATGTCTGAGGAGTGATCCAAGTTTTAAAGGTACTAATACATCGGTTGTAAAGCCCACAGAAGCTTCCGTGGACTATGATTGCAGGTATGAACAATAACCATAAACTTGATATAGTTAAGTGGGTACTCAAGTGTACCAATATGATACATTGTAGTTATGACATAACTGTCAGGGTTTGATAAGAGGTACCCGATTTTGCCTGACTCAGAAAAGTCTCTTGATTAGCTTTCTGTTTCGCTGTCTTGAGACTTGCATCTGAAATTTAGCAGTTATGTTTGGGTTATCAGAGCGATATTTTTCTCTTCTTTCTCGATATTTTTCCTCTAGAGGAATTGCTTTGGTGTTATAAACTTTTGCGTTACGTACGCAACAGATGGGCAAGAACACGCATTTGGACAGCAATATAAGCTCACTTTTGGAGAACGTTTCTTGCATGATACATCCAAGTCACTATTTTTCATGAACACGATCTTTATATCGCTCACCTGTTTATTATAATGCAGCGTTATTGATATTTGACATATTGCTGCCGTTAAGTAAAGGTCTATAACTTCACACTTTCCGTTCGCAACCAGTTGTTTTTTTTGTTCAATTTATTCGGTTTGGAGGAATGCTTGTTACTGAATTTCTTAGGCCCAATTCAGACACCGAACTTTTCATGAGCCGAGCTTAATTCGGAATTTGGACCGACCCAAATTATCAAAAGCACTCCTGTTGATTTAGACGTCGAACTTAATTCACAGAACTTAATTCAGTTTAATCTAGTTTTAGCCAAAAAACATTCAAATGTCAGCCATTTCAGGCAAAGTATAAACTGCGAGGGCCGGGGTCGAGGGTCTAGGGTCCCATGTCGAGGGTCTAGGGTCCCATGTCGAGGGTCGAGGGTCCCATGTCGAGGGTTGAGGGTCCATGCCGAGGGTCGAGGGTAATATTTTTTATGTAGTCTGTTCGATTCAAATATCTTATTCGGTGTTTTATGTTACTTATCTAGAACCTTTTAAAACATTCAAAGTCCGGTTTTCATGTGACTTCATCATATTACAAAACAAGAAACCTTAAGGCTTTCCCCATTATGCTTTTGCAGATGTACTAATGCCATCAACTTTGAATGGCTATCCGGGTAGAAATAAATCCAAACGGAAATGCTAACATTCATTTTTGCAGTTGTATTTTCTTCAACAAAAAGATCACAGAATGTGGTTGGCGAGAGTGAGTTGGCGGTAATACTTGTATCGGATAGTAACATTGTTACTGTTATGTCAAAGTGACACAAACATGCCTCACTCGCTTCGAATTTCAAATTTTCAGCTGCAAATTTTTCATTGTTGAAAACAAATACCCTAAAAACGTCTTCCGTGGCTTCGCTTATGTACGTTTTCGTCTATGTTGCTGTAGTGTTTAGGTCGTGTTACTACCAAAGCTGGAGTCATGGAGTTTTGGCTGCATTGTTTTCCAGTGTTATTGACGGGCCGCGATGAGAAATATTCCTTTGCCGGCTATCAAACATGAACTACAGGTGAAATCTGAAGGCGATGGGAGCTATTGAAGTAAATTTACGGCTTTTTTCTTCCTTCGGTAGATTCACTGTAAAAAAAATATATCTGTGAGATTTGCGATCTAAATTACCACTCTCCTTCGGTGAACTTGCTGAGCTTCGCGATGGGTGCCGATGAAAAATATCTGAGATTTGCGAGCTTACATTTCCACTTAGCGAACGTTTGCGTGAAAAATTGCTGTGGGATTTGCGACGTTTGCGTGAAAAAGAGCTATGAAATTTGCGAGCTGAAATTTCCGCTTGGTCGGCGATGTAGGAAAGAGATGGTTAGGGCAACTATCGAGCATGCTCTTGGAGAAATCTCGAGGCGACCCGAAGTGATCCTTCGCGAAACAAACACAGAGACCACGATGTCCCGCGGGATACGGGGTAATTTGTATATGTGTCTACGAAGGGGGAAAAAAAAAAGAAACGCGACCTAAGCCTCAGATATAAGACCCTTATTAAACGTTTCCTCCACCGTATTCTTCGTTTTGTAATAGTTACATGTATTTCAAAAAAGCTCGACTGATTATGTGACAGGAAGTCACGCCAACATTTTACCAAATTTGAAATTAGATTTCATGTTATGGCGTGATAGCGTGACAAAGCAACTACACGTCAATGAGTCAACTGGGCCACGATCTCAAAGGGTCATGTAGCAGCTCTCGTAAAGTCTCAAATGAATGGCTCGATATCCTTTCAGAGAACAATTAAACAAACAACAGAAACAATGCTCCTAAAACAGCTATACACTATACACTATGATGACAAGCATGAAATGTACTCCCTTATATGGGCTATACAGGTATGTGCTGCCCCAAAGGGTAGGGTTTTTCAGCCGTTTTGGTCATAAATAGGGTATCGATTTTGGTCATTTTGGTTGTAAATAGGGTATGGTTTTTGCAATCTGGTCTTGAATTGGGTATGTTTCTTAAAAGAAGCTACTTTTTCATCATTATCAATGAGACCGTGNGTCTTGAATTGGGTATGTTTCTTAAAAGAAGCTACTTTTTCATCATTATCAATAAGACCGTGAACAAAAGCCCTTCATAACTTATGTTTAGGCCAACTGTGTCAGCCGCAGCTTTAATAAATAGGCTATCGAATGTTTGGTCAGGTAGCAAAAAACGCAGATTTTAGTAATAAATAGGGTAAGGGTTTTGGGAAGTTGGCCGCACACCCCTACCCAACTTTTCTGGAAGTACCTCCCAGGCCTGAGAGCTGCTGCACTTCTAGGGTCATAACGCGGTCAGAAATTACAGTGTTTGTATGCATGGGAATCCGATGGCCAATAACTTGTTCCAAAATCGAGTTTTCCACAATTTGTGAATCGCAATAATGTTAAAATTCTAAGTTTGAAGGATGTAGCTTGGCCAGAAGACGCTCAGTTAATTTTTCTAATTTTCCATACATTTGTCTGTAATTTTTTTTCGCGCGAACCGCGTCTATCCAACCAACTTTACAGACAAATGTATGGAAAATTAGAAAAATTAGCTGAGTCTACCAGTCAGGATGGCGTCGAAAACCGTGATAAGACTCGACTGAGCGGCTGAAATCGAGCTTACCGCAAAGAGTAAAAAAGAAAAACCTCAGAAAAAAGCCGTACCGTTTAATAAAAAATATTAACCTCGACCCACGACCCTCGACCC